GCGTATAATTCTTGGAGAATTGTTTGAATAAGCTTTTAACAATAGTAACATTGCTCTACACGTTGAGATGATTTTCCTTGAAATTTTGTAGTGTGATCAATAATCTTCCATGTTGACGAGTTAATAGAAGTCTCTTTACGTAAATTCACTTGAGAAGAATATGAAATATGTTAGAAATATAAAAAAGTCACACAACATATACAAGGATTGTGATCTGTGTCTATTCTTGATTTTTTTTCCCACATCAGTAGTAAAGCTAAAGGAATATTCATCATAATAATAATGCAATGCCTATAGTTCATATGTTCAAATACTAAAGCTACAAAATTAGTGAAATACCAAATGGTCAAGAAAAATGGGCCAAACTTATTATAAATGTGCTAATGGGGGCATGAATTAGTCCCCAACGTGATACCATTCAAAAGAATGAAGACAAAGCTCATCCGGGTGAAAAATCCTAGCGCAAATGAAATTTCACTCCTTATTTGAGTAAAGATGGGTCTAGGAATAGCTTATAACAGGGAAGGTTTGTGTTGGTAACTCTGCCTAAATACAGATTTGAATTCTCTATTATACTTTCTCTGCAATATATATATATATATTAGTACGTGACTCGTGCGATGTATGGGAGTTAATTTTTAAAATAAAAAATTAATTTTGAGCCTTAATACTTTGTGTAAAAAAATTTAATAATTGAAAGTCAAATAAAACAGATTTGCTGATGATTGATGCAAAATTTTTGCCATTATATGTGATATTATGTAGAAGGCTTATAAAATTAATTTCTTTCAAGTTATAATAAAAAAAGTGTATTCTCAACCTGAAATCAAATCCTCAATTGTGTTATTCAACTTTATCAAAAATCATGAATTTTACTTATATCAAAATATTTTTTCTAAAAAAAATAAAAATAGCGAAAAATTCTATAATATACAAATTATGACTTAATTATAACTCATGGTGTATCATGTTATGATATGTATTACAAAAGAATAATATTAATTTTAATTATTTATTTTAATAATCTTAGCATTATTGTTCTATAAAATGTGTTACTCGAATACTTATGTATAATTTAGTTAAATTATTTGTTTATTTTGATAATTTTAGTTCTATTGTGCTATAAAAGTGTAATTATTATATAATGATTTTATATGATATACATTAAATTATAAGATAGTAAAATAAACATTGATTTTGATATTAAAAATAATAGTTAAATTAGAAGAAGAAAAATTAGTAATATAAAACTAAAAGTGATTCTAATTACTTAATTTTATTTATATTTATTTGAAAAATAAAAATATGTATCAATAGATCTACACAAATTTTATTTAAAGATTGAATACAAATATGTTATGATTGAATTAAGAAAAAATACATAAATTAATTATGTAGAGTATTTATTTTTTCTTTAATATTCTTTTTGAATTATTCATACATATTGTATATAGGTATATAAAATTTAAATTAAATATAAATGTTTTGTAACAAATAATTTCATGTTAAATAATAAATTAATTATAAATTAATATTAAGACATCAATAAGATAGAAAAAAATATAAAACATAAAAAAATTAATTTGATCCGTGAGATGCATATAATTAAGCACATCCTGTCTTATTTATTTATTTATTTATTTGTATATCATGTAACGCCCCAAAAATACATACATCTGATAAATCCAATTTAACTTATAACATAATCTAATTCTCAATTAATTCATCATTAATATGAGAGAGAGAATAACAAATATTACATTCATTAATGTAAGGACCAAAAACCCCCTTCTTTTCTATTCATGACTTTCTAGTAAGATTCATAAAACAAATCACATGCATTCATACATTCACCATTTCTAAAATATGAATCTATGACATGTGATGATAGATATTTAAAGCAAACTAAGTACCAACTAATGTCCTATTGGCTACAAGTTCCAAGGCCTTGCCCGGTTACACAAAAGTGGTGTTCACACCCAAACACGAATAGCCCTTGGCTTACAAAAATAAAACAAATAAAAACCGAGCTTCGTGCTCCAAAAGTTCCTTCTTGCCTTCACTTCGACAAAGGCATATCGCAATCACCTGAAAATGGTTTCCACTAAGGAATGGGCATAATGCCCAATAGAGATAATCTAAATGCTTGAGCCTTAAACAGTACTAAAAGAATTCATAGAGAAAAGTAGAAACACACAACTTTATATAGAATTTTTTTTTTTCCCTTTTTTTTCTTGCTTTAAAAAAACATTAAAAAAATCAACCAAGAAGCAAATAGAGAGAGAGAGAGAGAGGACTTATAGGGAAGAGAGACACTCTGTCTACGTTCGAATAAGAAATTCAAGAATCAAACAATATAGATCTTCGAGCAATTGGTGATAGAGATGTGTTTCAGGGAGAGAGATGAAGAGAAGTTTGGGCCGTGGAGGGAGTAAGAGAGGGAATCTAACAATTTGTGTAGGTTTTTTGGTTGTATAAAATGATATAGTGAAGATTTTTAAAATATACTGGTGAGTTGTGATTATAGAGAATGATATAGGGAAGATTTTCAAAGTATAATCCATATAGGTTTTGTATTTTGCCTTTATGTAAAACTTGAATTGAGTTTTTGAGTTTGTCTGTGTATGTGTGTAATTGAAATTGGGATTTGTGTGGGTTTGTTCAAAAGGGATAAAATTGATAAAAAATAAAAAAAATAATATAAATTATAAAAAATAAAAAATAAAAAAGACTGAGACGTGTCTTTCTTAGTGAAAAAAAAAGAAGCTCATATAATGTGCTACCTAAGTATGAAAAAAATATATGTTTTTAATATATATATATATATATATATATGATGACATGTACTATTATCTAATGGTCCAAATTTAAAATTGAAGTGCAATTATATTAAACTAACATCAATTACACATTCTAAAACTGAATCGTTTTATTTCAACTTTAAACTTGAACCGATGGATTACAAGTGCAAGATTAATCCATCAGAATACATATCCTAATGATTGATTAATGTTAACAAACATAATAATCAAAGGGGAATTAATGCTAAGCTAAAAGTTGGACTTTTGTTTTCTCTCAACATCAATTCTTTTGTGGAATACTACAAATTAGTTTAAGTGTAAAACAATACAAAAGGTCCAAAGTTTTGAAATTGTCTCCAAACCTACATAACCATGTTTCGTGTTTGAAATTCAGCCCTCACACAAAGAATATGATAATATACATTTCAACAACTCAAAAAGTCAATTTCCTTGGTACCTTACTGCTACTTTTGTGCGCATAATACCACTAATAATAATAATAAAACTCAACATTAAAAGATCATGAAAAGAGGAGTGATAACAAGTGGATGATTACATCAAGAAAAGGTCTTCAAAACAAAAGAACTGTTTGTTTGTTTGTTTATTTTTATTTTTTTTTATATCAATAAAGAAAATTCTTTATTAATAAAGAAAACATACAATATATATAAGATAACATCAACAAGGAAGAGAAAAAAGGACAAAAAAAGAGACCGGACATAGAGTTGGTAAGAAACCAACACTAGTTCACAAGACCACAAAACACTTGAAACCAAAAACCAAAAACCAAAAACTAGTTAACAAAGCTTATAACCCAGTGAAGACTCCAACTAAACTTACTTGTTTGCTTGTTTATTTTGTGTGTATATAGAAGCAATCATTATTATAGCTTCTTTCACTTGTGGTTTTGAGAAGAATGGAGTGTGTAGCGAAAATTAAAAGAATGCATTATGAGATTTATGTGTAAAATGAATTTAAATTACATATTTTCTAAGTAATTTTTGAATAAATTTTTCAGAATTTTTAATATTACTCGGTTAACAAATCACGTACAAAGACAATTCTGAAAAAATACAATCATACACTTCAAATGGTGGGTCCTACTGTGAGTTAAGGAGTAGATTTTTACTCCATTATCTTATGTGTAAAAATAAATAAAATAATTTATAAAAAGTTGTATTTGATTTTACGAAAGAATTTAGTGCATGTAGAAGAACTAACCTAGAAATCACATCTCCGTGAGGAATAATTGGAGAGAGAATCCTTAATGGCTAAGGTGTGAGGTGATATGTGGAAAAATTATTTAATATTTTTTTGAGTTTTATATGTTTGTACTTTTTAATCAATTATTATTTAATATATTTTTTATGTTTTTTAATCACTAAATATAATATCTCATCTACTTATCTTTTTTACCAATCACAATGATAGAGAATATCACGTGTCTATATTCTGAAATTACTAAATAATTATTTGTGATATGTGTCCTTGTTTTTTTTTTTTTTTTTTTTTTTTTTTTTTTTTTTTTTTTTGCAGCTTTGAATTGGTCACAACCCCATGCAAATTTCGTGACATGACCACCAAGAAAACAAACATGCTGATGGAATCCTTCACAGTAAAAAAAATGTCTTGAAACCATATCTCAGGACCACTCTAACAAATTTCATGAATCCTTTGAGAGCAAAAAGTATTCAGTACGACAAGCGACAAGATTACAAACACATCCTCACCCTTGATTTCCGTGAGATATATGTTTCAATGCCAATGCAATTAGTGGCCCTGAATCACTGTTTCCTTGAGAAAGAGAAAAAAACCAGAGCTAGTCTAAGAAGTACTTTCCAATTTTCATTTACTTGACTTCAATTTTTAATTATTTTTTATTTACTTCAACTTTGATTTACATAAAATATATATTATCTACCATCATAACTACCAAAGGTTCACATCACACCCTACCAGTGCATCTTTTTTTTTTTTTGATGACTCAGGTATCCCCACAGCGGAAGCATGAGACTAATCCTGAGGGCCCTGAAATTAACGATCGGGCAAACCTCCAGTGGCCCGCACAGTAACCCGTGGGGAGTGGGATTCGAACTTGGGACCTCCAGGAGGAGCAAACTCCCAGACCCCAGATTTTCTTCCATCACACCCTACCAGTGCATCTACTAGAACCATTACTTTCATTTAACTCTAATAATAAAATTTGATTTACATAAATATGCTGATTGTATATATCAAGTAGCTTAAACAAATAGTAGTCAATCTCTTACTAAGCCCAAATATTCCTCCATTTTAGCTAACAATTCTCCATACTCAAATCTCTTTTACTTTCATGTTCTAATACATTTTCAACCATCAAATTATATAACAATCTCAAAATGCCTAAATCTCGATATATAATTTAATGATTAGAAATGTGTTAGAAAAGATAAACAAAAAAACAATTTGAGAACCAAGAAACTCGTGTGCCTCATTTCAGTACTGGTTTGTGACACTTTGATACGGTAGTCCTCCTTGTGGCTTAGTGTCAACATAAAAAGAGCTAACCAAACTTGGATATGAGTTTCCAAATTCACCAACTGTGTCTTGAATCGACCAAACTCCATTGACAACATCTTGAGGACATCCAGTGCTGCCCATATCCATTGAAAACCCGACATCTCCACCGGACCATCCCTCGTGATTGCTCTCCATCGCAAACGAAGAAGACAAGCCTGAAATGTTGCTTTTCTTCGCACTTGCATTGAATTCACACGCTTCACCAAGTTCAGAAAGAGGGTAGTGATGAATCAAGTTCTGGGCATTGATGTTTAGCCCATAATTAATGAAGATTGGTGGAGAATTTTGATTGAAAAGAGATGGAAAACTAGGAGGAGCATTATATGATTCCATTGAAGGTGTTGATGAGCCATAAAAATCACTGGGGTTGTTGTTGTTGTTGATGAGAGGGATTGAATTGTTGGTTTTGGCAGCAGCTGCCAAAAGCTTCTTCTTGAGTTTGGTGTTCCAGTGATTCTTCACATCATTGTCTGTTCTTCCTTGTAGGTGAGAGGCTATGACAGACCATCTAGTCAATTATTAAATCCACAAATATTTCAAATAAATTAGTTATTATCATTGATTAATTTGGAAAAGAACTATAGTATTATATTATTTAATGTTTGACATGCCTGCTGCCTAATTTAGTATAGAGGGTACAAATGATGTTGTCTTCCTCTTCAGTAAAACCTCCATGTTTGATGTCTGGCCTTAGGTAATTCAGCCATCTCAGACGACAACTCTTCCCGCAACGCCTCAGCCCTGTAAGATAAAAGCATCGGGGGCTTATATTTAGAAGCAACAACAACAATACTACATATTCAGAAAAAATAATTGGGCAGGAATTGTGTAGAGCAATAATTTATTATCAAATTATGTTACGCCATACTATACTTTGGATTCTGGGTAAAATTTGACAAGTGCCTTGAGTACTTAAAATTTTGGATTTAGCAATAATATAAAATTGAACATTGATTTAGTATTAGAACAAAAGGTGCAATCATGAAGTAGAAGAGGAAGGAATATGATTCTCTGCAATAATTATTCTTGCAATAATTTTGCACTACTAGTTTTAGTTGGTGGTTTAAGTCCAAAACATAGTTAATTACAATTTAAGTAGATTTTTAAACTCAAAACACAATCATTCTTGCAATAATATTAATTATTGCAAGAAAGTATTGCAAAGAATCTTGTTCTGAAGAGGAAGCTCATACATAATAATCATTTGTGTTAATTTACACAAACAAACATTTTATTTTTATCATGGGTTTTTTACATGGGAAAAGTTAGGAATCATTAAAATTTTTTCATGAAAATAATCATGGAAAATTTATGATCCTTAGATTATCTTGATTAGTGTGTGGTGCTTTATTTTAAGTGTAATCCAAGAGTCACAAAACTTTCATGATTATTTTCATGAAAGGTTTTTCATGATACCTAGCATTGCTGTTTTTACATTTAATCTCGATCTCACATATACTAAGTAATTATACAAAGAAACGTTTACAATTTAAAAAAATATATATATATGAGTATCTCTGAACTATACATGTCAATAACTTCACCAAACAGCAACATATGCATACACACATAGAGATGTAAATTATAAAAAATAAAAATAAAAAAAGCTGAAATTTTGACGGAGTAGAAGTTTGCAGAACAAGTTATTATTCATAAGAAATGGACTCAAAGATCTGACTTAGAAAACATAGCATTTGACAAAATGTACATAATTGGAATCAGTAATCTGACTCAACAATTGATCACTGCGACAAGAAGACATAAGCCACAATTAGACTTTTCTCACACGAAAAGTGCAAAAACTATGAAAGTGGGTTATCAAGAAATTAGCTCAAAAGCAAAGAAAACCCATTTCAATGTCAAAATACAATCTTTTGAAAAATGGGTTTTCGCCAGAGATAAGTACAGATGGGAAAATGTGAGTGAGAAACAAAAACATAGCCGATTTCTGAGACAAATGTGAAAAATAAACAAACCAGTGGGTGTGGAACCATTTTGTCTTCAAAAGAAAGCATAACAACACTTAATTTGCACTGAAATTTGGAATAAAGGATCCAAATGACAAACATTAACATGAGAGAGAGAGAGAGAGAGAGAGAGAGAGGAAATTAACCGGCTTTCTGAGGCAAAGAAATCCAATTGCCACCAGTGCCATGACTCTCAAGGTAGTTCTTGAGAGTGGCATCTTCTTCAGGAGACCATGGTCCTTTCTTCACTTTAGTCTTGTCACAGCAAGGAGCTCTTCCCATGGCTGCCTGCACACTAACACACAGAGAGAGAGAGAGAGAGAGAGAGAGAGAGAGAGAATTCAAACACGCAAGAGCACCAATTATGTTACTTGTTAAGAGAACCAAGCAGTTTCATTTTGGTGACGGCTTATAAACAGTCCATATATAGCCCTTAGCTTGACTTTGCATGAACACTATTAAAGTTTTTCAAATATATATATATATATATATATGTATATATATAAACTTTATTTTAGCTTATTTTTTTGTTGCTTAAAAATGAGGGACCCAATCAACTGCCATACGATCAACTCCATGATGCAAAGGTTTACTTGGTCAAAATTGCTATGTACAAAATTCCAACACAAAAAAAATATATAAAAAATATACTTTGTTACTAAAATTTTTTTCAAGTGTGATCTAATTTTTTTGTTATTTGGTTTTGGTTCACAAGTCAAGTGATTCAAAACTCATTTAATTTCTTTTAAGTTAATATTGGGACATTACAAATGATAATGTTTCTTGCATGCATTACAATTTTTATTTCTTACTTAATGTTTTTGTGTTTTTGGACTTGTAGATTTTGTTAGCTTTAATTATCCAAACATGGGCCAATAATCATTAATGTGATAAAAGAGTGTTCAAAATTAATCACCAAATTCCTGGAAAATTCATCTTAATACAATTTTTATACATCTCAAAATATTTTTCACATATTTTTAAACAACAGAGTCAAGTCACTCAACTAAGAAACTTACCATTGCAATTTCATCATTAATTAAAGTTTTCCACATTTGTTGGTGAAAAAGAAAGACAACATGTTACCTTCATTTGCTTTTAATTCATTTCCTTTTCTTGAACAGGCACAAATTGCTTTGGCTCTGTCAATTTTGAAGATGGTGCATAACTCTCCTGTCATCATTAATGCTATATTTCTAGTTGCTATATTAGTGATCTTTCTCTACTTATACTGTATGATGGGTACACCATTACCTTTTATATTCAATTGTGGCTAAACAGGGGCAAATAGCTTTTGCACACTTTCCTTTAAAGCCTTGTAATAATTTCTAGTGTGTTTGTAAAGCTTGTTTTTAAAAAAAAAAAAAAAAAACCATTTAATGTCCACAAAGCTCCAATTGGGACGAAGATTTTTTTGTCCCCAAATTCTTTTTTACCATTGTCTTACACTTTATTTGATTAGAGGATATGAGAGAGTTTTGAAAAAGAAAAGGAAAAGAAAAAATGTATATACGAAATTACTTGAAATGTAAGTATATTTTATTCACATTTCACCTATCTTTTCTATTTTTTTTTCTAAATTCAACCTTAAATCTCTCAACTAAAAACAACATTAATGCATTTTTCAACTTTTAAATTAAAGTGTGAATTTCGAAAATGTAAATCTTGAGAGACAAGATTCAATAATTAATAATATATATTAAAATAGCGAATTAAAGTGATTTTAAAACAAAAGATTCAATGTCCGCAACCCAATTCATAATCACACAGTCATATGATTAATTTTATATTAAAGAAAATCATATCGCCCAAAGACATGTATGAAACAGAAGGAGAACGACTTATCATAATAAAAAAACCCACACCCTTTAGGTTCTCTTTTTTTTCCCTTAATTTCAAAAAAAAAGTTACCAACACCAAAAAGTTATGTGATTTAGATTCAACTCTTATATAATAGGCTCCATATTTGAAATGAATCTCAAGTGCACAATCTTTATTATTCAAAATATTTTTTTAGGCAATTTTTTCCCATCCCTAGCATTACTGTCTTAATTTATTTAGGTCATGTTTTCCAACCTCTACTTGTGCATATGGACTGAATTATTGAAGGCATTATTACGCAGTGGTGGTCCTAACAACGAAATAAATATTTTTGCCCTATTTTGAAAAAACTGGTAATGCTGCAAAGGAAAAATACCCATTTTCTTAGGGTCCAGCTTGTCTTTTGTTTGAGAACAAGACTGGATCGTCTAGTTCGGCTCATGAGCTCATTTTTTGAGCTTCGTTTCGATAATGTGAATCGTTCAATGTATATAACTTGTCAAGTACTATAACTCTGTAAAAAATCACATTAATCGAATCAGATTTCTGTCAATTATTTATTTTTTCACCGTTCATTTTTTTTATATAAATCTGATCCGATCAAACAGCTATCAATATCCGATCAATGTAACTTTTTACAGGGATATAGTAATCGACGCGTTCTACTCATTGAACGGTTCGGATTATCGAAACAAGACCCAAAAATGAACTCATAGGCCAGACTAGACAGTCCAATCTTGATCTCAAATATGAGACAAACTGGACCCTTTTCTTATAACTGTACCATAAACCAATGTGATCACAAAAAGAAATTTTGAACATGGGTTTGCGAAGAGACCATCCGAAAGGTTTTTTTTCTCCGTTTTTAGAATCTTATGATTTGCAATTTGATTCACGACTTGATTCATAATTTTTATAAAATTGATACGAATTTATGGGTAAATTTATTTTGGAAATCGCACGATTCACAAACTATTCACGATATGATTCACTTTTTACCATTCATGCAATTTTTAAAATTATTATATCCAACATATTTTTGACTTTTTTTTCTCTCTATCGTTTTAGTAAAAATGACATAATACAACTTTTAATAGCTTTTAATATCAAAATAACTAACATATATACATGATTTGTTTTTACTTTAGTGATCATGGAGTTTTTAATATGATAAAATCAGATTCAGTCGACCTAACATATTTTTAACATTTCTTCTCATTTTTGCCCTTTAAAAAATCATAATATCTCTTCTAAAGATATTTAAGATTAAACTTGCGCTATGAATTATTTATTGCTATTTTATTAAATTGAATATTACATATGTGAGGTCAGTTATACCTTTTAAACTATTTTGGATTTTAAAATAAAATATTCTAAATATTTTAAAGATATTTAAAATATCTTTAAAAAATCATAATATATCTTTAAAAAATCATAATATTAAAGATATTCTAAATATATCTTCTCATTTTTGCCCTTTAAAAAATCATAATATATCTTCTAAAGATATTTAAGATTAAACTTGCGCTATGAATTATCTATTGCTATTTTATTAAATTGAATATTACATATGTGAGGTCAGTTATACCTTTTAAACTATTTTGGATTTTAAAATAAAATATTCTAAATAATTCTTTCTTATTATTTGTTCATTGTTACTTAGAAAAATATGTATACTTATTGAACAAATATCAATCTAGTGGTGCTACATGCACCAATTAATGTATACACTAATGTACCAACTAGTGTTATGTTATTGTTACTGACCCCGCCTATTATACAAATTATAAATATTCAAAACCTCTAAAATTATGTCACATTTTTTATTAGTATACTAGTTAGTACATTAATTGGTACATATGGCATTATTCAGATCCATATCGTTGTTAATTATTATTACTTTGAAAATTGATAGTTTGTCTATTTGATTATTATCTTTATTAAAAATGATTGATAAGAAATATATAAAAAAATAAAAAATGTAAGATAGTAATCTTACATATGAACCTTTGTTAACTTCTTACCTATTAAATTACATGATTATCATTCAAAATAATATTTTCATTAATTTAAGTCTAAATATTTTATATTCATAAGACATATTTAACATCTAAATATGTAAATATATGTTTTAAAATAATTTATAAAAAGTGGCTAAATCTATCACGATTCGATTCGATTCGATTCGATTCACAATTTGATATAAGGTCATTTCAATTCATGATACGAATCTCGATTTGACAACTAAAGTTACGATAGGAATCCCAAATAATCTACCAAATTTTCTACTAAACTCTCACATAAGTGCAGGTTCCACATATATATAGATTTATGTGAATCTCATACTCATGTAAAAATTTTAATAAAAAATTGATAAATTATTTAGGTTGTATAACATTTTCCCCTTTTTTTTCTTTTTTCTTTTTTTGTTTTTGATACGACTCTTGATACGACTCTACTCAACTCAACCTATCAAGTCACTTTTTGAAGAGCCATAAACATCTCTACCTTAACTGTTGATGTTTATGGCTATATATGCTTACTTGGTTTTAAGTTGGTTAACCAGTACCAATTGATCTTAATTGAGGATTACTTACTAATGCTATAAACACATAAATTTTTTACGCACTATAATAAATTAAGATTTTAAAAATGAAATCATTTTCTGGGGACGAAATTTCTTATTCGCCAAAACTGTTGTTGTATTTTTAGCTATAAAATTGAATATTTAGTAATCAATCACTATTCTTTTACTAAAGGTTTTTTTTTTTTTTTACTTTTTTGGATGATCTTTTCGTGATAACTCAAGATAGCGCCCCTTACAGAGATCACCAAAGTGTCCTATTAGCCGTTCCGAGCGAAGAGACTATAATTTGAGAACTTACCCCGATCTCTCAAGATAAGCTCCGTTTAAGTCAAGACACGCACTGCGGAGGAACATTAAACCTATACCAAGTGTTGATTAGACAACTTTAGGTCCAGCCTCCTAACCAACTGTGTTTCGCCCAAGAAATTGGCCTAAGGGAAGGAATTGAACCTGTGACTTGAGGGCTTAATTCCCAAATCTTAACCACAATACCACCCACCCCGGGTTATATTATGAGTAATTTGATTGTCAAATCTCTAAGAATTTTAATTCTAGAATATATGCAAGTTTTTTAAGTCCCCGTTATGCTCTCATTGCACCATGCAGTTGGTAACATAATACGCCTCCTTTTGTTGCCAACTTTGAGGTACGGGGCTCCTTAGGATTGATATTTACAGTAATTTTTTTTGTCACATATATAATCATAAAATATGAAGTAATTAATTATTAAAAGAGTTAAACTCAAGATCTCAATAATCGAATTAAATATTGTCAATTGAATATCACTAAACCAGATAAATATCAAAATCTTTATTTACGATATGCAACGGAATTCAATAATAATTCGTGTTAGTGTAGATTGTTAATATGTTGGGTTATTTATATGGGGACTCCTAAACTATTAAAAACATATCACTGTGACACCTTGAACTATACAAACATACAAATAAATTTCCTAAACTATTGAGAAGTATAGCGTTGCCCTTTAAACTATAAAACATACAAATGGACCCCTAAATTATTGACGTATTTCACTTTGGCCACTTCTATTAGAGGATCCAATTGGTACATTTTTATAGTTTAAAGGGTCCATTCATACACTTTTATAATTTAAGAGATCAAACTGATACTTTTCAATAGTTTAAGAGTTTTTAGGTAAATAACCCTAATATATTTGATATTCTTTTATTACTGCATTTTTTGAAAATTTTGTTCATACTGTTCTTTATTGTTGTGCACCAACTCTTTTTCCATCTCGTCTTGTCTTCTCTTCTCTTCTCTCCTTTTCAAATCAATTAATTAAGAAGATTGGCCTTGCCAGCAATATTGTAATACATTAATTCAAAACAGCTTAATCAATGCAGCTAATTAAACTTAGGACCACATTGATTCTGTGGTTAGACCATAACATGTGATTCCTAATGTGAACCTTTTTTCACAACTTTTTATTTATTTATTTATTTTCAACAAACAAATTAATAATCTGGCAACAAGACAACCTTTTTCTTTGATTTTGATAAAGTATATTTCCATTTATTGAATATTGGCTTCGTTTGGTGTAACTGTTAAAATAGATTATAGATTTTAACTTAACATATTATAGATTATGACTTTAGTTAAAAGCTGTTAATCTGTTTGGTGTAACTGTTGAATTATAGTTTTAAGTTGCTGAGTAGTATTTGTTAAATAAGCTGTGAAGTAACTTTTTCAATTAACTTTTATTTTTTGTTATTCACTACTAGTCTACGTTTCTCATAAAAAATAATAATAATATTCTATAGTCTATTTTGGTCTTTTTCTATTTTTAAAAAAATAAAAATATAAAAAAAATCTAAGAGTATAACCGTAAATTAACATGTCCACAATAGAAGCTGATAATCAGAAGTAAGGGGTAAGCAACTTCTCAGAATTAACTTTTTTGACTTAAAATAAGTTGTTAGAATCAGAAACTATTTGAAATAAGTTTAACTAAACAGTCCAAAATAACTTTTCAAAAGCCAGAAACCATAAATTGGCTCAAAAAAATCCAAACAAACACCCTCATTGTATGGTGCTCTTAACCATTCCCTCTCTCTAAAATGGCAAGAAAAAACTTTAGGAGTTGTATGCCCAATAAATGAAAGGTAGTACAAACCTTACTAGGCATAGTTTTTTCTACAGCTATTTTATGAATGCATACAAGGGTCACCAACCGGGGGTTAGGGATTCTTAAAGTTGGAGTTTAGACATTTTTATTTATTTGCGAACATGCCGATTCGCGTATGGAAGTAGCTGTTAGCTTCGACCGAGGAAAAGGGATTGCAGGTTTTTAACTAACAGTTCCGATTTAGAGCACTAAATCGGAAGCTCTAAAAGCACCACTGAGGAGTTGGCAGCCAACAAGGCAAGATAAAGAATATTTGCATATACAGTGTGTGTGTTTCAGGCATTGTGTAAAAAAAAAAAAAATTAGAAATCCCGCTCAAATGTAAAGCAGAGATTAATGTTCCATTTTCAAGATCTATTCTAGCTGATCTCTCCTCCATTGTCCCTCTCCTCCACCATCTGGCGTCTTCTCCCTCCTCCACCGTCCGACGTTCGTTGTCTCCCTCTCCTCCGTCTTCCCTCTCTCACTCTAAATCTGCAGATCTATCGTCCGGCGTCACTCTCCTCCACCGTCCGCCATCTTCTCCCTCCTCCACTGTTTGGCATCTTCCTCCGACTTGGACTTCCACTCTCCTCCAGGTCAGTTTGTCTCTCTATTTTATGTCTTTCTCTGTTTCAATGTTCTTATAACTAGTTAAAGAATTTTTGATTTTTCATGTCTTATCTCAATGATCCATCAAATGACAATTCTATCCTATATATTTTTTTCTTCACATAAATTAATTGAAGAGAACCATCAAAAGAGGTTTGAGGATTCAATTTATTTTTGCTAGAGGCTGGAGATCTCTCTTTAATGAGTTTTATTTTTCTGTACCCTCTTTGAATACTGAAATATGAATTTTGTTACTAAAACCATATAATTCTATGTTACAGTTGTTGGAGTTATATGAAGTTCTTGAAATTTCATTGAGGAAACCCCCTTTTATTTTCTATTTTACCATAGTTGTTGACAAATTGCCTTTTGTTTTTTAGATTTTGAGTTGTTTGGAAATTGTAATCAAATTTCAATACCAAAGCTAACATCATGAATTGATTTTTAGAAGGAAAAAAAATATTGAAAGGGTACTCCAGAACTGTGTTTTAATACCAAAAAAATTGCTTTTCAAAAGCAAAATTGATTCCGTTTTTTAGACTTGCATTGTTGATGAAGAAACTATAAATGGTTGATGAATATTGGACTGTAATTTTTGAATGAGCAGAAATAGAGATTGATTCAAATAGTGGTGAGAATCCTTTATTAAATGAGAGTGAAGAAGTTGAGGAACCTAAGAGGCGTATGTGTTTTAGCTCAAGGTAAGAAGTGTACACATTTTATGCCAAATATGCTAAACATATTGGATATTCCATAGCTCATAAAACACAAGTTTGTGGCGATGATGGGAATTAAGATATTTTGGGATTGAATGTTCTTGATCAAGAAAGAGAACCAAAAAATCAGAAATAAATCCTCTAAAGCCATCTCTGTCCACAAAAATTGATTTCCAAGCAAGGGTACGAACAACCTTACAAAAGGATGGGAGATTTATGTTAACCACAGTTAACCTTGACCGTAACCATGACTTGATTCCTACCGACTCGCATCATTTTGCGATGAACAAGAAAATTCTTACTCCTATGAAAAGAAGATTAGAAATTAATGATCAAGAAGGGATTGGGGTGTCTAGGAATTATAAGTCAATAGTTGTTGAGGCTGGGGGTTATGAGTCATTAACATTTGATGAGCGAGATGCAAGGAATTACATTGACAGAGCTAGAAGATTGAGGGTTAGAGAAGGAGATGCCGATACACTTCAAAAATATTTTTTGAGAATGCAGACACAAAATTCGAGTTTCTATTATATGATTGATGTTGATACTGACTTTCGCATTAGAAACTTGTTTTGGGCATATGCAATGAGTCGGGCAGCTTATGAAGAATTTGGAGATGTTGTTTCATGTGACACAACTTATCTCACTAACAAAAATGATATGTCATTTGCTCTGTTTGTAGGACTTAACCACCATGGACAGTCGATTTTGCTTGGTTGTGTGTTGTTATCCAGTAAAAACACTGATAAATTTGTTTGGTTATTGAAAGCATAGTTAAATTGTATGTCAGATCATTCTCCAAAAGCTATAATAACTGATCAATACAAAACTATATAATACTATAGAAATTATCTTCCCAAATACTCGACATCGACGGTGTTTATGCAATACAGTGAAGAAAATTTCGAAGAAATTAGAAGGCTATTTTCAATATGAATCCATGCAGTTGGCTTTGCAAAATGTAGTGTATGATACTTTCACAAAAGATAAATTTGAGATGTGATGGAAAGAGATGATTGCAGAATTTAATCTTTATGAGAATCAGTGGTTGGGGGTACTATATGATGAGCGACATCGATGGATTCATGTCTATGTAAAAGACATTTTTTAGGCTGGTATGTCAACTACACAACGAAGTGAGAGCATGAATTTCTTTTTTGATGGATATGTCAGCCCGAAGACTACATTAAAGCAATTTGTTGAACAATATGAAAATGCCTTGAGAAGTAAGGGAGAGAGAGAGAAGAAAGCTGACTTCAAGTCCCGACACAAAGTGTTTGATTGCCTAACTGTGTATGGTTTTGAGAAGCAATTTCAAGATGCCTACACCAATGCAAAATTCAAAGAAGTACAAACAGAGATGAAAAGACTAGTTTATTGTCTGTCGTGTCTTGTGAAAGAGAAGGGTTCAATTTGCACATATTTTATGAAGGAAGCCGTGGTAGTTTTTGAAAAGATGAAGCATGTGGACTTTATTGTGTATTATAATTCGACAGAATTTGATGTTCAATGTATGTGTTAGTTGTTTCAATTTAAGGGCATCATGTGTGCTCACTCACTCGTTGTGCTCATTGCAAGATGCATTAATGAGGTTCCAAATAAATTCATTCTACCACGATGGAGAAAAGATTTGGATAGAGGGTACACATGCATCAAAACCACATACACTAGATTTAGGGATGATTTTAATGCAAAGGTCTATGGTAAGATGAACAAAAAATTGATTGGCATTGTACAAGTAGCTAGGAACTCTGAAGACAAAATCAAAATTATCGATCATGGATTGGATGAAATCAAGGCAAGAGTGATGAAAGATGATGAGGGTGATGGGAGTAATGTACTAGCTTCTACTAGTAATGTGCCACCTATTACTAGTAATGTACCATCATTCCCAATTGGGAGCATTAATAGAAAAGCAATCAGTAATACAAAGTTGCTTAGTCCTTTGGTTGCTCACCGAAAAGGTCGTCCAGTTACGAAACAAAAGGTCGCCAAAGTAAATCAAATAGTCAATCGGTTAAAAGCAAACAAAACAAAACATAACAAATCAAAGGTAAATTTCATGGTATTCTCTATTTATTTTTCAATACTGTATTATTTTTCTCTATTGAACTTATCATATATCTCTACACATTCATCTTGGTTAATATAGGGTACTAAGGTGCTTGGAGCTAAAGCTCAATCTGAACCTCAACCTAGTGCACGTAGAGAGCTTTAACCTTATATGGTTGGCATGCAAAATAGTATGTATGTGCCGGTACGTGTATATAATATGGATTTACATCGATCAATTTATTTTATTTTTGAATAATATATATTAAACTGTTTTTTTCATGTCATTGTAATTGAATAGGGAGAAATGGTAAATGCGATTGGAGGCACACTGGGAAGTATGGACATTATGAGAAGACAAAGTTTAAAGACTGTTCCAACCCAGATTTATGGAGTCGACACATCTCTTACCCCATCGGAATGTATTGGAGGCACATCGGGAGTTATTGACATAATGCGAACTAAACAATCCATGAGTGCTACGAATCAAATTTATGGAGCCGTACTATCTTCTTTTGTTGACTTCAATGTACCAATGAACCAAAATAAGTTTTGTTTTCGTTAGTTGGAAATTTGTAATTTTAATGCATTTTATGTGACTTGACTTGGAGTTTATTTTGTGGTGGAAGTAATTTAATGCATCTTTCTTTGTTACTTGATGGAGCATAATTTATGAGATTTATAGAAGTTTGATATTGCTTTGTTGTTATATTTGTTGTCTAGCTCTATATAGATATGGAGGGATTGGTCTTTTTTGGGAATGTTTTATGTTGCAGGATTAGACTTGGAGTTAGAGTGGTGTGTGTTGGTTTATTTTTGTTGAAAATATGATAAAAATATGTTACAAATCTAATTTCAAAGAATCTGTGTTCAAAAATATGTGTCCAGAAATTTGTCGTCAATGTGTTCAAAAATCTGTGTTGAAAATTTGTGTTAAAAAAGCTGTGTTCAAAATATCTGTTCAGAAATCAATGTTCAAAAATCTATGTTCAAAACTTGTGTCGAGAAATCTATCTTCAAAATCTGTGTTGGAAAACCTGTGTCCAAAAATCTGTCTTCAAAATATGTGTTGAAAAATCTGTCTTCAAAATTTGTGTTCAAAAATCTGTGTTGAAAATCTGTCTTCAAAATAAAATGTTAACAATCTATGTTAACAACCTGTGTTCAATCATTCTTCAAGCAGACAAACAGATAACAACCTATGTTCAGTCATCCTTCAAACAAACAAACAGATAACAACCTATGTTCAATCATTCTTCAAACCAACAAACAGACAACAATCTGTGTTCAACCATTCTTCAAACAGACAAACAGATAACAGATTACATCTTCATACTTCTCAAAAATAACTGTCATAAGTCATAAATCTTTATACATATCATCTATTTCAACTTCTAACTTTCATATAAAATATTACATCTTCATAACTAATACAACACCAATTACAAGGAAGAAAAAGATCCCATAAATACAACACCAACTTCGATTTATGTCTGTCAGTAATTTTTACATCTGCGCACTCTGAAATTGAAGTTGTTCTCTTTGAAATCAAAGTTGTTCGCCCATACTTCGAAGTTGTTCGGTGACAGTTGGCATATTGTCTATTTGCACTTGTCCTTCATGTCTACATTGTGAATTTGTAGGCAAACACCATCCAATAAAACCACCGCAATCATGACAACAATAAAATAACTTGTTTTTGTTTCGCTCTGTCTCATAAATTCGAATAGTTGCTTTTTTCGACATTTAGGACAATTTTGGTTGCAATATGTCAATTGACCTGAGGTACTGCCGCTAACACTTGAAGTTGACATATACAAAAATATGAAGCCAAATCTCAAGCAGTGTATTTTAAGTGAATTAAATCCTTCAAACAACAATTGAAACAACTGTTGAATTCTTTCATTTATTTTTGTCAAGATGACAGGTGTTGTGCTTCCAGGTATCAGGTCAAGATCGCATAGCCCAATTAACAGACTGAAACGCTGTCCTCAGAAAACATAAGGAATAAAAGACCCTCAGGCTTGGCTCCTAAAAAATCAGTCAAATAGACAGTCCAAGGGTCGCTATTATCTAGGTAGATAATAACCAATAATTGCAGTCTCATGTAAACTTACAAGCACATACAATCTATACTAACAAACACAAAGGCTATATATAGGTAAACAATAAGTCTGAATTTTTATGTAAACTAGCAAAAGAAATTATGGATAATAACAAAAAGAAAGGCTAAATAGGGAGCCTTACATCCTGGTTTGTTGTGAAGCAAACAATTTATATTTTGATCCCGTCCTTGTTAGATTGTAGTTAATCGAGACATGGCGAACAAAACGATGCTGCATGTGTCGTAAAGGACTATTAGCAAACAAAAAAAAATGGGCAACAGACAACAAAGGTTGTGTGTAAAGAGGGAGGGAGTGAGACACACATTCATAAATCCAGAAATACCAAATTATTAGACTAGGAAGAATAAATTGTAGTTTTGAACTCTACTTCCACAATGAGCATCAAGCCAAACTAAATTACTTGAATCCCTGTAATTTCATTCATGAGAATATGAGATGTTTTTGGTGAATAATATGCCTCCACCAAGTGGAAGATATGCTTCTTGATATTAATTTTGGTGAAGTCTTGGCATTGGAGAAAATAACTAAAGATGTCAAGGAATTGGGGATCAATGATTGCATGGTCGTAATAATGGGGCTTCACAGGTTATATCATGTGGTAGCTAATGTTGGTACTACTCACATCTCAATGCTTGAAGAAGTGAACACCATTACTAATAATAGGCCCATTAATTGTGCAATAGTCATGTTTTATTCATTCATAATTGATTTTTGTCCACTCGACGACATCATGCCAGTAACGCATGGGTTAATAGTGTTTGAACTAACTCGAGGTTAATATCTCAGATTCTTATGAAATGATTAATTAGGTGTTTAATGGAGAATGTTCTTTTGGAAGTCTAGTCTTTAAAATTCACGTTTGAAGAAATTAATCTTAAATATTAACTGGATGCAGATAAGTGCATGTGTTTAAAATTATTTCGAGCAATAAAAACTAGAAGACAAATTTTCTCAAGCTGAGAACAATGATGCAAACGTGTTTATTTTCACTATTTAAAAAATGACAGAGTGCTCTCTTATTCTTTTTTCTATGCTTCATTGCATCAGATATAACAAGATAGGATTTCTACATAATGCAAAAATGCATATAAGACAATAGGTTGCTTCAACATGAAATAGTTTATCCTTTGACAAAACAACTCGGGAAAAGATAATATTACCTGAACAATTTGCCAAAGCAATTCAACAACAAATGGTTTCTTGTTTTATTCACATCGAATTGATTAAGTCCTTGTAAATTAGTAATAGATTCAAATGGAATAGAGACAATATCATTCATTCATTCATTGAACTCAACCATTCACATCAATATTTAATGCTGGAACCTCAGAGCAGTCACCTTCAATGTCGAAACCTCATAAATCCTAGTTTCATCAATCACAGCGCCCACCACTGTAGCTAATCCAATGTCAAATTTGGGCAAATCGAAATCGAAATCAAAATCCTCCTAAACAGATCAAATCAAAATCAAAGTCACAAAAATCTCAACAAATCAAAATCAAAATCACCGCATATATATATATATATATAGAGAGAGAGAGAGAGAGAGAGAAAACTGACCTGTTGAGAAGACAGATTTGTCGAGAAAAGACAGAGAGTCCGGTTGGAAGAATGAGAGAGACTCAGTCACCGTGAGTGACTCAATCATCGTCGTCGTGAGAAACGAAAAAAACAGTCTGTCGATCATCATGACTAAGGATTGAGGTGGGCTCGGTCGGAGAAAGACTCAATCATCACTGGGGTTAGAGAGCTGCGCTCATCAGGGAGCTCGTCGAGAGAGAAAGAGAGAGAGAAGAGAAGGAATGACCGAATAGAGAGAGAGAGAGAGTCTAAAAATGAATGTCTGAAATAAAAATGAATTTATAATTTGAAATCAATGAGAAAGAGAGAGAAAAGAGCAAGAGTTAGCAACAGTCTTTCCACATCGGCGCCACGTCATTAGTGGTCTATTTAGTGGTGTTGAATTAGTGGTATGAAGCATTTTTCTTTAACTAAATAGGTACGCGTATTCGGGTTGTTATTCTATAATAGTACTTGTACTCAACATATAAGCGAGCTAATCATTAGATAGATGATACCATTGACAAAGACAATAACTGATGGAAGGAAGTCAAGTGAGCAATGCAGCAACTGCGACACAGCCATCTACTCTTTTTAGTACAAATAACGATGTCAAAACTAAGAGAAAAGGCAAGAACAAAGAAGGGGGCTATGTCCTCCTAATAAAAAGAAGAAAAAGAATATAAAGCATCGAAGAACCCCTTATCAAACAATTAATTCTTGTACAAAAATTAATTGTCAAAGGAGGTTGTTATTCGAGGAGCTGTATGTATATATAAGATTTATCGTATCTAAAAAAATCGATAATAAATGACAAATATAATTTTCTAGCTTTTTTTTTTTTTTTTTTTTGAGGACAAGTAAATCATCATTATATATTAGAAACAAAGAAACCATACAATTAGTACCAACAAACAACCATAAGGAAACAAACACAGCAAAGTTAGGACAAATACAGAAAAACCAAGCCCCACAAACAGACTTCTAACCATCACCCAAACTCTGGGAACAAAATACACGATGCCGTTGCAGTCGAAAGAGACTGGGATTGTTGTAGTAATCTTTAATCCAATATTCTCTCTTACGCTTACCATATGCATAAGCAAATGATGGTTGGCTAGATCTTGAGTTGCGCTTTCTTAAAGCCCCGCTTTTCCTAACGCCTCCAGCATCTGGGGTAGAGATGGTTACAATGGACCTTGAGTTACTCTGTTGAGGCACATGGATTCTTTTACGACCTTCTGCACAAAAAACCATAACGGAATTAGGATTAGGATCAAGAAACAACGATGTTTCCGGGTTCGGTGGTGACAAGTCGTCGCAATTAACTTGAGGAAGTGGGGATGACAAAAAGTAAGAATCGACGATAGGAATAAATAAAGGATGTGTTAAAGGCGACACTACACTCGTAGGAATCTCCTCCTCATCAATTTGCTTATTGGAAATTATATGCCTTTGAAGCTGGATATCAACAACTGACAAACTTTGTCGGTGTAAAAATTGAAATGAGCCACCAATTTACAAATTTTGACGCAACTTTCGATCAATGAGGAGACAGTTCTTGCCAAGATGCACTTTAGGCCTTCACTTGGCCTCTGTTGCAAATTTATCACCCCTCAACGAACCCTGGTGCCTTCTGTATTCATTAGCACAAACCTCAACAGACAAGTTACTAGTGCCTCCACCAAACCCACTATCGTAATTAGTAGAGCAGGGCGACATCTTAGAAGAACCACCCGGACTAAAACCAACACCAACATGTGAAGGCTCAGGCAAATCATGGCACGTCATTGGGAGAGAGTCAATCTTATAGTTCGTTTCATCGAAACCCATGGAATTTTTAAATTGGGTCATAACAGAATCCCGATCAAACAAAAAGTCATCGTCAAGAGAATCCTTGATCAAAGCAATGTTCAGAGGATCCAAGAATTTGAACATATCAGAAGACAAAGAACCTTTGGTCTTAGCCTGTAAGACCTCCCATTCCATGACTATACCTTTACCTTTATCTTCTTTTGATGAGCGTCTGACGACCGACTTAGATGTAAGGAAGAAACCTTTCTTCAACATCAATGAATCCAACCATTACGACAAAAGAAAAACGCACGAAACCGACACACACCCCAAACACAAATAACGAAAACAAGCCAATACAACCAAGCAAACACAACTAACACCCAGATCAGGACTAACACACCGTAACAAGGAATACCCACGTCGAAACAAACCTCTGGGTCGTCGGATCGGAATAACCATTAAAAGGCGTCGAAAATATGCCCAAATCGCAGGAGGAGAGAGAAAGATCAAATCTAAACCGAAAAAAAAAGAAGAGCCAAAACAGCTCATAGCACAGTCGGCAAACCCTCCCTCCCCTCGCCGAAAATTGTTTATCGCCGGTGTTGACGCCTCAAAATCGGACCAAGAATCACGCCAAAAATCGCTTAGGTGTCGTTTGGTAATACTTATGTTTTCAGTTTTCAGTTTATATTTATAAAAATTTAAAAAACTCAAATAAAAACTTGTTTGGTAAAATTTTTGATTTATAAATCAGTGGTCTCAATTTATAAATTTGGCCAAAAAATGAAAACCCAAAAAATTTGTTTCCGTTTTGAGTTTTGAGTTTTGAGTTTTTTTTTTTTTAAAATTATCCACCTTGACATCAAACATGAAAACATCCTACTAGATAAAAATTGGGTTCCCAAAATTGCTGATTTTGGCGCAGCCAGCCTCATCCCTCAAGGTCAAACTCAAATTCGTGTTGAGATCAGTCAAGTTATCGCTACCCGGTATGTGTTAAGCATATAAATTTTCTTATTTTTCCTAGTAATTTTTAAAAAAATATATATATATAGCAATTTGATTTAGGATATAATTTAAATTCTCTATATGTTGTCACTGAATCCTACTCTTTTTTCAAAGAAAAAAAAAATCAAATCCATCCGACCAATGTTTTGTTGAGTTTTCAAAAACCTTTTTTTATTTTTATTTTTAAACCAAACCAAACATTTTGAAACTTGATTTGTTGTTAATGTATGCTTGTACGTGGAATCAGTGGGTATTCAGCTTACGAGTACTTGGAATATGGACTCGTCTCTCCGAAGGCGGACATATACAGCTTCGGGGTAGTGGTTTTGGAGCTGATAAGCGGTAAGAAGTATTGGAACTCCAATCCTCAGTCTTCCAATGATCAAGGTCTACGGGATGAGGTAAGCACACCTCACCACTCACCACCACCCACCTCTCGCCGCCACCACCCACCACCCACTACTACCATCCACCGCCCGCCACCACCACCCCACCACCACCTGCCACCACCACTCACCACCTACCTGTCACCACCAGCCACCTGCCACCTGCCACCTACTCGCTACCACCACCCACCCCTTGCCGTCGCCGCCACCACCACCACCACCACCACCATTACTCACTCTCTCCCACCCGCCACCGTCACCCACTCACCCACCCACCTACCACTACCACCCACCCGCCACCACCCACCACCACTAGCTACTCACCACCCACCGTTACCACTTTCCACCACCGTCTTCCGCCGTCACTTCCCACCACTTGCAATTTCTTACTCTTTTTTATATTTTAAATTTTTTTTAAACATTTTATCAATTACCAAACGCGTTTGTAGTTTATATTTTTTTAAAAATAAACAAAAATCAATTTACAAAACTTTTATAAATATAAACTAAAAACGTAAACGTTACCAAACACATCTTTAGAACCTTCCCTCTTAAGTTTTTTCTCCAAATTATGCCCGCTTATGCGATGGCATGTTGTATTTTATTTTTTTTTGCTGCTTCAAGCAAAAGGGGAGAGAGGGAGAGGGAGTTGCACATGGCCTACTTAAAAATCTCATTTCTAAAATATAACACGTGGCAGCCTTTGTGTTGGACTTGGGTAGTGGTCATGTAAGGGCTTCAATTGGTATTGGAGCCAGTGTGGCTAGTACTGGTGTCTCACATTTTTCGTGTAAGCCTTGACAGTTTCAGTTTCTAAAGCCCACACAGGGCCATGGTTGAAGTTGAATGAAAAATGCGTTTGATCGGAGAATTTAAAAAGGAATTTAAAAAGTAAAGAAAAAAAATAAGTACAATATGAATAAAATATATTTATATTTTATTTAATTTTTTTATTTTTTATTTATTTTTAAATGTTTTCTCAAATCTCCTAAATGGTGGAAGAATCAACAAACCTTAACGTTGGGAAAGATAATAAACTTAGTAAAATGTCAATGCATACATGTGTAGAGGCTCTATAAAACATCATTTGCTGCAATAATATGTAGTTTTGTGATGCTTCTGCGTCTATACCACTACAGAATTGCCGTTGTCCCAATTTGATGGCTTTTGGGCTCTGAAAAATTGCTTTATCATTTAGACAACCCATTATTGAAGAACCAACCGTTATGGAATTTGTCAGATGAGCCCATGCCAAAAGCCCAGTCATAAGAAAAATGAGACTCCCAATAACTACAATTTGGGCCCGCTGGATCAAATAGAAGCACGAGAAAAATCCAAATCAAATTTCTTTCTAGTTTACCAACCCTTTTCATTTATTTATTTATTTAATATTTATTATCAAAATAAACAAGTGCATAATCAAAATCAAGAGGAGATCACACCTACAACCAAACAAACAAAATAAATCTTTAATATGGTGCTAAAAAAAACACAATACATACATATTTTTTAATTCTTACAAATTGTAAACTTAAGAGCAGATGGGTTTGAATGTGAATGAGCTTACAGAAGATCATCACTTTCTCAACAAAAGTAAACACAGCAAATTCATAAGACCAATTACAAATATATGATCAACAAAACAAAATGCTACATCACTTTCTTCAGCAGCCAACAAAACCCTTCTTGTTTATACACAAACTTGCAAGTTTTATCCCAAAAAACAAAAACACAAAACACAAAACACAAAATAGAGATTAATGTCTAATCTCTTCCTTCCCGATCCACTATTTACACAAGATTAATCACTGATCAAAAACTTCACATCAGATTAATCTGCAATTAATCTTTAGGTCTTTTAATATTCACATGTCATGCCACTGAACCCGAAAACCCATTAACCCAAAACAACGAACCAAACCAAGATCCGTTTTCGGTCACTTCACCAGTTCGGACACCCACCCGAAATCAGGACCCGGAGCCAAATCAACTCGCTTCAGTGAGTTTTCCTTGCTGAGTTTCGCGTATATCTTTGCACGCAGGTCTCTCCCAGACTCTACCCTCTCCATTACAGGCTCCTCTTCACAGGTCTGGTCCCAGAAATCGAATCCAGACCGACTTGGGGTCCGAGTAGGAGTCGAAGGGAGGCTCGAAAACCCGGATCGGAGACCCGACGGACTTCGGGGCGAACAACACTCGGATCCCATTTGAGAAGTCGGACTCATGCTCATCCTCACCTTCCCAATCTGCAGATTCTTCATCATCGACCAAGAGAGTTCACTCACCGAGTTCACATTCGGCGAGTCAGATGGCGAGTACAGAGTCGATGTCGGAGACGAACCGAGTCGACTCAGCGACCCGTCATACGAATCGGTGGTTCTGGGACTGGTCTGAGGCAAGACCCGAAGCTGATCGGGAGTGTGAGCGAAGAAGCAGACACGGCGGCGACAATGGGTGCCGTCCTTGCAGGGCTGCGTACGATAGCGAGAAGGGTGGAGCCAGCACTCGAATACGCCGTGAGCGAACTCGCACAAGTCGCCCTTTTTGCATTGTCCTTTGCGAAACTCCGGGCACGCGGTGCCGGAGTAGTGGAACTTCCGGGGGTCACGCCGGCGAGCCTTCTCGCCGGCGTGCAGGTACGGGCACTCCGTCCAGTCGTGTGAGTTCGCACGTGCGCACTTCTTCACCTTGAAATCGAACATACGAAAATGATCGCATGAGAACGCGCCCAGAGGAATGTGGTAGTCGTCGCTCAGAAAATCAGAGTCCGCGGCGGCGGTGGTGGTGTTTGAGGGAAGATAGCGGTGGAGCGCCGCCAGGGCTTCGAAGTTGGTGGTGTCACCAGTGGCATTGCGGTAGAGGTTGACGGTGGTGGCAGTTGGATCGTCGAGGAGGTTCCATGGTGGGACATGGACGATCGTATTTGAACGAGTGGTTTCGCTGGTTATCACCATCATCAGTGTGTGCTTCTCTCTGAGAGCGCTAGGGGGAAAGAGCCATAGGGTCCTATTTATAGTGAGTACTTAACCGTGGTTAAGTTAAGCTAACCGTGGTCGTGTCAAAAAAATCTACCGTCTTCCACCTCCACTAGAAGTTAAAATATGGTCAAACTTAAAGTTCACTGGTCTGTGTTGGAAAAACGTTCACAGCCTTATCTAGTAACTTCCGATTAAAGATTGTTTTAGATATGATTTATTAGTTGATTTTTTTATTCATTACGAAATGAATTAAATAAATAAATCCACAAATAATTTATAAATTGGCTTCTTAAATGAGGTTTAAATAAACAATTTAAAAATGAATCAAGTAAAGAGATTTGAGAATTGATTTCTTTAATAATTTTTAAATTTTTTATGAATAAACATGTAGAAAAGTATATAAAATAATTTAATAATTTATAGTGATTTTTAGAAATTTTACCTAAAAAATGTTTCCCAAGCCTAATCAAATTTGATTCATGTTCTTATTATTATTATTGTTATTATTTTGTAAGTAATGACTCGCTATATAAAATATTAATTTTAATACAGTTTGTAAGTCATTAGTATGATGAGTAAAGCTTGATAATAAACTCATTATAGAATCGTATAATATTACTTATGCTCAACTCAATTAATTTTTTTTTAAAATAGGTTCAAAAAATAAATTAAAGTTGAGTAACTCTTATTGTTTTAAAATGCACAAAATTGTCGAGTTTTTGCATTTTGAGTTATATTTTGAATTTTTTAGATTTATTTTTTTTAAATATATAATTTTTATTTAAATTTATTTATTTTAAATATTTTATTTTATTTTGTAAATATTTTAACTTTTAATTTTAATATTTTAATTTAAAACACAACTTTATACTCAAAATCGTAACCAATCACATAACTTAAAACTCAATTCAAAAATTATTTTTAAAACTCATAACCAAATACGTAACTCGAAACCCCACACTGTTTTCAAAACTCTACACTCAAATCATATCAATACCTAACAAAAAAATTAAAATATTTAAAATAAAAAATAAAAAGTATATTTAAAATTAAAAAAATTAATATTAAAAAAAAATACAGCACATATATGTATAAAATATAGTGCACATTAAAATAAATAAATAATTATTGACCCTAAAAAATAAAATTAAGAAAAAATTTAAATATTTAAAAATAATAATTTCAAAAAATTTCAAAATACAATTCAAAATTCTTTTCAAAACTCATAACTAAACAAATTTTCTATTTTCAAAATTCATAACTCAAAACACAACTCCACACTCAAATTATTATTCTAAAAATAATTTTAAAAAATAAAATAAAATAATTATTTTTTTGAATTTTTTCTTTTAAGATAGAGTTTTGAAAAGAGTTTGATTATAAGTTTTAAATTGAGTTTTAAGTTGTGTGTTTGGTTATAAGTTTTAAAATTGAGTTTTGAATTGAGTTTTGAATAATATAAAATTATATGTTTGATTATGAATTTTGAAAAATGATTTAAAAACTTTACTTTGAAAATCGTAATTCCAAAGGCAAACCAAACAAAGTCTTTGGCCTTATTTAGTTTGCTTTTGAGAGAGTGATTTTGAGAAAAATTTTCAAAATTTTGTTTGATTTAGTGAATTTGAAAAAAAAAAATTCAAAATCACTTTTTTTCTTTTACACATCAATCAATCACTTTTTCTCTCTCCTCTCTCATTCTTAATCATTTTTTTCTCTCACACACGTTTGCTCAACTACAACAAAATATCAAATCATCTCAAACTTCTATACTCCAAAACTATTTCCGAAATATACAACCAAACAAATCAAAAAAAATTCTAAACTCTCCCTGTCACGACCCAAACCCGCCCCTCTAGGTTTGGGACAACAACCGGCCAGTAATCCGCAATTACCGAAGGCCTGAATGAACAAAGTATATAAATGGGGATAGTGGAAGCTATTATGTAAGAAACATCCAATGAGTTGTGCATTTACATGAGGCAAAAGACATTGCTACACATATAAACATATACACATGTGGAAGTACAACGTGCTATTACAAGTTTGTTTAAAAGACAAATAAAAAAGGAGAAAAGATACGCTCATGGACGACAATTCCTGACCAAACACACGGGCGCACAATAGAAGGGTGAACATTGGCCATATCAAAACTTAGGTAGATGAGAATCTCGCGGTGAGGCACAATGGTTAGCTCGACAAAACTGGGGTAAGACCGACGCCACTACGCCTTGTCTTGAGTTGGATCACCTACATGGTATACCAAAATGTGAGGTAGGGCCTAGTAAATAACAACTGAATAAAGAGATTATGAATGATAATTATAATACAAAATGAAACACAAGCTAAGCAAGTTCATACTAAGCTTGAGAAGCATAACATTTCACGTAGAATATTCGAGTAGTACATTCAAAAGTAGTAAATACAGGCGGTCTAGAAGACCTGTAACGCCCTCAAAATAAACCCATATTATCATACATTCACGACATCCATAAATGTAAGAGAAATAAACATATTTCTATTCATCAGAGTATTTAATCCAAAAGTATTACATGTTGACAACAAAAGTAAGTGTCCTACAGGCTTACAACTTTCCAAGCCAACACTTGGTTACAAAAAGAGAGTACCAACTCTACACAAAATAAGCCCTTGGCTTGATATACATTTAATACACAAAAATAAACAAGAGAGTCTTCAACTCCCACAACTATCCAAGCTATGACCTTGGAGGCGGCATGCTACCTGAACTTGAAAATGATGTTCCAGGGTGAGCCAACGCCCAGCAGAGATATGCTAAACATAAAATGAGCAATAACTAAAACATTAGCATTTGATAAATGTTTAACTTACATAAATCAATTCATATCCCATTTCAATTACATGACCAATATGTCCATGTTTCATTTCATTTTCCATTTCTTATCAAATTTCTCAATTCATAACTATGGCTCAGAACCTGGCCAAACAATTTAAATGAGATTACATCTCATATCAACAGTACTTCCATTTCAATTGAGATAACAACTCAAATTAAACACTTCCTACTTCACAATAGATACACATAATTGCTGCATCAATCTCAAACAAAACACTTCCGTACTTCATATATGATATACAGATTTGCTGTATCAAAACTTCAATAGATACACATATTTGTTGTATCGATGGAGTCCATCCCCTATCTCCTCCCAAACAATATCCGGTTTAGGAGTCCATTCCCTATCTTCCCCTAAACCGTGGAGTACATCCCATATCTCCTCCCACACAGTACAATGTATATAAACACATATCATATACATAATCAATCAATACATAAATTTGATGCATTATTCCAACCGTCATATTCGATGACATATTCAATTGATTAGTTTTAGTTTGCGTAATTATCATGCATTGTCTACAACAATCAAGACTATCCTCCACCGATAGCCCAAAGCAATTATTTCTAAACAGAAAATAATTATATCAACAGATAATTTATCAACAATTTTCAAAAGGGTGAGTGATTAATAAATCCAACGCCACTATTCCATCTCATATTATGCCAATTTCATTATTCCCAACTCAATTTCATATTTCTATAACATTTCCAAATTAATTATATAAATTAATTCATAACAAAAATTAGGGCTTTCTCTTCTTTTTCGCAACTTTGACCCAAAGGCTCAAATATCAACAACAACACCAATAATCTCATTTCTAGACCCCAAATACACTTATATAGGCTCAAAATACAAAACCCCTCTTTATACATTTTGAAACCCTAACACCCAAAATCACCCAACTCAACATTACATCAAAATGACCAATAGTTTATGTCGAAGACCATAGAAATGAGTAGTTATCCCTACCTCAAATTCGGAGCTCAAAGGAAGAAGATGTAGAAATCTCGAAGTGCTCCAAATCAAGAAATTTTCGGATCAAAAGATAGCCCACACCAAGGTTAACACTTTTTACAAAGGCTCAAAGGTGGGAGATCACTCTAACTAGATCAATACCTAGAGAGAAGTTGGGTTTTCGAAAGAGGAGCTCTCCAATGGAGGTTTTGAAAAGTAAGAGAGAGAAAATGAGTTAAAAAAGTGATCAAAAAGGGCGAACTTCGGACTGATATACTGCACTCCCCGCTCGAGCGTGGAACGCCCTGCTCGAGCGTCAGACACAGACTCACGCTCGAGCGTCAATTGCACACCTGCAAAAATTTTGCAGACATGGTCCCCGCTCGAGCGGAGGGACAAAAATCAAAGGGTCACGCTCGAGCGTCAAAACTCCCGTTCGAGCGTACGAAGACCTGCAGAGAAAAATACTAGGAGATGGAAATTTACGCTCGAGCGGAGAAGCAACAACGAAGGGCTCGCTCGAGCGTGAAGGCGAAATTCTGGGCATCAACGTTTGGTTTCAAAGCACAACCAACCTGTTTCAAACCTGCCTAACACAACCTAAGACTCAAATATAAAGAGTAAAGGATGGAAATGAGAATAAGATAACAACACAACCGCGGAACCTAATTCGGAATACAATAAATAAAGGAAGGACAAACCGGGATCGCTATAACCTTTCTCCCTTAAAGAATTTGGTCCCCGAAATTAAGTACAAGTTTTTTAAAAACGTGATTTTCTCAATTCTCAACAGTATTACAACTCAATATTCAACAGCCTGACCCATAACCGGTCATTCCATCTCTATTCAAGAGGCATTTCATAATATATACTCAATATGCATTATAAGTCTGGATATTTCTCACGAACATCCACCTTATGTTCCCAAGTGGCTTCTTCCACTCCATGATGTTTCCACAAAACTTTCACCAAGGGAATGGTCTTGCCTCGCAAGACTTGATCCCGCTTATCCAAGACTCGAACCGGTGTCTTCTCATACGAGATATCCTCGTCGACCTCCAAATCGGTCCAATCCAGCACATGGGACGGATCCAGCTCATACTTCCGAAGCATACTAACATGAAACACGTCATGCACTCCGGACAACTACGACGGCAAAGCCAAGCAATAGACAACCTCACC